CATAAATCATATCAAAATCGAAGTAGAAGTTCTTTAAATTGTCAAAAAGGAAGAAAAAATAGAAATGAGTGCAACTAAAGCTATATAAAGAATTCCATTCCAGCCTGTAGCAAGCTGGATTTGTTTCCTACTTCAGTCATCTTACTCATGATGACACGTGTCAAATAAATCGGTTGTTTTGCATCACATCTGCTTCAAAAGTCATCATCTTTATTAACCCCACCAAGAATTTTTGGATATGAAGCTCAATTTAGATATTACACCATGAAAATTGTATTTTTTTCCTTTAAAACAGTCAAAAAATATAATGGTTTAGTTTAATCAAAATATAAATGTTGAAAGCACTTGAAAGTTGAAAGTATAAGAATCATAACAATACACATCAATGTAGGTAAATTGTAAACAAAGTGTAAAGATTTTATCTTTGAATTTGGTTTCTCATTTTCTGAAGTTATTATTATTGTGTGTGATTGTTGATATACTCATATCTATTTTTAGCATACAAAGCACACCGACATTTTCATCTTTTTGAAGTGGAATTGCTTGCTTTTATGACATGCAAAAATGTCAACAAAGAGTTCCATGATTCCACATCTTTCTTAGTCTTTAAATAGAAAGGAATGAAGTGTCTTTCAACACACATTCTCAATTTCAAGATTCTTACACTTTCTTGAATTTCCAGATCTTCCTTCTCACCATGAAAGCTCTTATTCTTGTTGGAGGATTTGGAACTCGGTTGAGGCCTTTGACTCTCAGCTTCCCAAAACCCCTTGTTGACTTTGCCAACAAACCCATGATCCTTCACCAGGTATAATATAACCTTCATCCTCCTCTTTTCTTTTTCTTTTTTATTAAAAAAGTAGCTATAAATTATTATTTTTTTATTAGATTGAAGCTCTCAAGGCTATAGGAGTCACCGAAGTAGTTCTTGCTATCAATTACCAACCCGAGGTAAAATTTTATTATGTTTCACACTGTCAGAACATTATGTGAGATGTAAATCAGGTACACAGTGTCTGTCAGGGTGGGGCCCACAAGGGGTCTGATCCACATTGGAATTCAAACTCTCACACTCTTTCTTTTGTTTCTACAAAGATACATGGATTTTTATAATTTTTTTTTTTTTTTTTTTGTAGGTTATGCTTAACTTTTTGAAGGATTTTGAAACGAAACTTGGGATAAAGATCACATGCTCACAAGAGACTGAGCCACTTGGAACTGCGGGCCCACTAGCTCTAGCTAGAGATAAATTGGATGATGGATCCGGGGAACCTTTTTTTGTGCTCAATAGTGATGTTATCAGTGAATATCCACTCAAAGAAATGATTGCATTTCACAAATCCCATGGTGGTGAAGCTTCAATAATGGTCACCAAGGTAAATACTAAATACTTTACTTAAATAGTTTTTTTTTTTATTCATGTATTTCGAATACTTCACTTGAATAAATGAAGGTTAAGAAATATTCAAGAAAGTGACAAATAGGGGGAAAATAAAGGGGTAAATGCAAGAACTAGCAACATACTTTAATATATATTTGTTTACTATATATAGTATCTTACTATCATTTATTTTTATTACAACATTCCAAATCATAACCTTGTACTTTGAATAATTGACTAAATTATATAAGTTAGAGACATTGCTATAATTGGGTAGAACTCTTTTAGTATTTTGTTTTCATTCTTTCTTCATTAAGTCAAAAAGTAGCATTGATATATAGCTTATGAGATCAAGTACTGAAGTACAGTATACTTATTGAATCCATTAAGGTTATGTTTGGCGTACTAGCTGTGTTAGCTGAAAAAGCTGGTTGATAATCGAAAAGCCAGTTGTTAAATGAAAAACTAGCTGATAAAAAATGACGTTTGGTAAAACTAGCTGAAAAGTATAAAATGACACAAAAAGGCATTTAAAAGAATGTGTTTCTATAATTAACAAAGGGTTTTATTTGGAAAATTAAAAAAAAAAAAAAAAAAACTCATAAAAGGCTAGTCTAACTAGTTTTTTAAAAAACTAGCTTATAAACTACTTTTTGGCTTGCCAAACATGACAACTTAAAAAAACTTAAAAACTAAGCTAGCTTATCAGCTAACTGTGGCGTGCCAAACACAGCCAAGTACAAAATAAACTGACTTTTTTACTGATACTGTGTAGGTGGACGAACCGTCAAAATACGGTGTGGTGGTAATGGAAGAATCAACCGGACGAGTCGAAAGATTCGTTGAAAAACCAAAAATATTCGTCGGCAACAAAATCAACGCAGGAATTTACCTTTTAAACCCCTCAATTCTCAACCGTATCGAACCCAAACCCACATCAATCGAAAAAGAAATCTTCCCAAAAATCGCATCATCAAATCTCCTATTCGCAATGGTCTTACCCGGCTTTTGGATGGACATTGGTCAACCAAAAGATTACATAACCGGATTAAAACTCTACCTCGACTCCCTAAGAAAAAAATCATCACCAAAATTAGCAAACGGGCCCCACATAATCGGAAATGTTTTGGTTCATGAAAGTGCTAAGATTGGTGAAGGGTGTTTGATTGGGCCCGATGTTGCAATTGGGCCAGGGTGTGTGGTGGAGTCTGGGGTGCGGTTGTCTAGGTGCACTGTGATGCGTGGGGTCCGCGTGAAGATGCACGCGTGTATATCGAGTAGTATTATTGGGTGGCATTCAACGGTTGGGATGTGGGCCCGGGTTGAGAATATGACGATTTTGGGGGAAGATGTTCATGTGTGTGATGAGGTTTATAGTAATGGTGGTGTGGTTTTGCCACATAAGGAGATTAAGGCGAGTATCTTGAAGCCGGAGATCGTTATGTGAATGAAGAAGATTTGTAATTTTATTGTGTTTATGTTTTTTAATTTGTGTTGTTTTCAAGTGTGTTTTTTGTTGTTAAGGTTTTTTAATTTGGTGTTATTGGTAAGGGTATGGGTTGTGTTTTGATGTGTAATTTTGTGGTGTAAATAGAATAAATGGTTGGTTGAGTTATTTAGGTTCTTGTTGCATAAGGTTTATGAACCATTTTTAAAGATGAGATCTTGTAGATTCTTTGTTCTTTTATTTTGAAGTTTACAAACTTTAGTTATTTGTTCCAATAAATATATACCCGAAGAAATATATTTCATTTAAAACAATTAGAGTAAATGAGTAATACCCATTTTGTATCGTTTAGTGTGAACAAAACAAAAATATAATTAAAAAAAAAAAAAACAAAACAGAAAATATATAATAACAAATGTAATAAAACCAACCAAAGATACAAAATCAGAAAGTATTTACCCGCCAAATTAGTTGACTTAAAATCTGATAAAAAGGTAGATAGAACTTCAAAGGTTTGATGAATAGTTTCTTTTGTAAAATCTCATATTATAAACAACAAATAATGCATTAGCAAATAGCTTTCTTTGGGTGTTTTTTGGAGTTTGTAGTATATCAATGTCTTTTTAATGGAGTTTGTAGAAACATAAAAGGTAGATTGGTCTTAAAGTATGTATTTTTATCAACATTAGACTTCATGCAATTTAAACTAACTATTTTTTTTTATCATTTCTAATGACTTTTATTAGAAAAAGAATTCTAACAATTCACGGGAAAAATCTACTTAAATCATTGGTGGACTGACTTTTTTCTAATCGTGCATATATGTTTCAATGCAACCCATTAAAAAATTCATGGTACATACATATTGTTATTGATCGAGTCTTGATAAAGGTGATACATTGAAGATTATGTGTGTAAAACTTTTTTTATTTTGGTTTTTATTAATCGTGGGGTATTTACTTCCAACAGATTCATGGGTATCCACATACAACTTAGACAAGTGATTATCATGTTTAAAGTACTAAAATGGAACCTTAATAAATTTGTTTTTATTTAATATTTAATCACACAATCATATACCCATTTCTCCTTCTATTATTTGGCTATTTATTGATTATATCGAAAAAGTTTTATTAGCTTAAAAATAAGAGCCTATGGATTTGAATTTTTTTTCGTTAATTTTATAATTGTTATAAAAATGTCATGATTCAAGTATGATGTGCCTTTTTTCTACCATTGCTCCTGTTATTCTTTCTTTATAAATTTTCTATCACCCTCTTTTTATAAGTATGTTCTTACTTGAAATTAAATGCAAATTACATTCTATTATGCAGAACTCACAAAAGGGCTGCACCTTTGGACTTTAGAAAATAGGGACAAAAAGAATGAACTTAAAAAGGCAAAAGAAAAACTTCTCTACCAACTTTACCCAAATCTTTACCTTGTAGGAACAAGTAAGTGATATTTGGGGTGATATGGTGTCATTATCATCACACAAATTTAATGAGTTATATTTTCTTATAATGTAGAGACCAAAAAACAACTAAGGGGTAAATGGAAACCCGTTAACAAAAGATGATTCAACTGTGAAATTACTTTTCAACGACAAAAGGCTGTAATTTATTGTTATTATTATTATTATTATTATTATTATTATTATTATTATTATTATTATTATTATTATTGTTTAAAACGCATGGTCATATCTAACAAATTGATCACTTTTCCTTTAACATATTTTTCTTATTAATTGGGGATTAAAATTAATATACTTTGCACTGTGATTGTTTCCGATGCAGGTTACAAGTATTGAAACAGCGTTTACAAAAACATGAGAGCTATTGTGGTTTGTTATAGGGTAAATGTCATATTAGCCCATTAAACTTTTCGTATATGTTTTAAAAGGTCCCCAAACTTTTTTTTTTTTTTTTTGCACATTAAAGAGATATACTTTCATTTCTCTGTTTTAAAATACCCTTATGTTACCTTCTACCGGGTTGATAGGTAAGATATATGCCACAAGAGAAAATGTCGGTGACACGTCATTTAATGAAATGGTCACATGTGTTGTACTTATCTTAATTTGTTATAAAGTAAATTGCGTGCATTATACAATCCCCTCCCCCTCACTGAAGAAACCCCTCGTCGTCCCACCATAGTAACTGAAGATCGATGGCTATATTCCTGTCAATCAAAGTTCATTTCCAAGGTGTGTTCATCAACAAACCTTTTTGCTATTCTGATGGTGCTCATCATGTGTTCGAGAACGTTAATTTTGCTGGTATGTCATTTAATGAGTTTGTGGGTTTTCTTGAACGATTCACACAAGAGAAGTGTGAGAAAGTTTATTATTGTCAACCCGATTTACAAATCCCAGAAGGTTTAACCTTGATTTCGAATGAACGTCAATATCAAGAATTTATAGACATTGCTTATCAATGTGGAGTACAAGTTTCTGTTTACATGGACCATTTTGGTACTACTGTGCATGTAACGAAGGCAAATGAAAATGAAAATGAGGATGATTGTTCTGTCAAGTCAAACATGTGAATCGAAGGGGAAGAAGGTATTGACCTAACTGAAATTAAGAGTCCACAAGAAATCAACATGGAAGGAATAACCTATGAAGGAGTAAGTCAGGGTGATGAAAATGAGGAGGCCACAGAAGGTGATCCAAAAGATGATGAAGATGATAATGTCCCAGATGTGAAAGGAAAACCGATGTTTAATGAAGACATACCTTGGAAGAAGCAGTTGCTAATTCTAGGTATGAGGTTCACCAACCCTAAACAATTAAAATTTATGATTTGTAATTATGCTGTAGCAAATGGATATCAATTGTACTTTGAAAAAAACGACAGTCGAAGGTTATTGGTTAAGTATAGTAATGGTCAATGCACATTTAGGCTTTGGGCATCATGGATGAGTGAGGAGTAGTCTTTCCAAATCAAGTCCCTTATCATTTACCATAATTATGCAAGAAATTTTAAATTAGGGTCAATTGTTAATTACAGATGGATTGGTAGTCATTTCACCCGGGAAGTGCTTGAGAATCAGAAATTCAATGTTAGGATGTAAAAAGAGGAAGTAAAGAATGAATTTGGCATAGAGGTTAGTATGGGACAATGTATGAGAGCTAAGCAACATGCAATGTCTCTTGTTGAAGGTACCATAGTGGAAAATTATGCAAAGTTGTGGTCCTATGGTGAAGAGATAAAAAGGTCTAATCCAGGTTCAACAGTCAAGTTGTCTGTGAACTTTATGCCAGATGGGAAAACTTACTTTAGTAGGATATATATATATATATATGTTTTCATGCACTAAATAAGGGTTGTAGAAGTGGCTGTAGAGCGATAATAAACTTAGATGGGTGTTTTCTAAAAGGAATATGTACTGGTTAGTTATTATGTGCTGTTGGTAGGGATGGTAACAATCATATATACCCAATAGCTTGGGCTGTAGTTTGTGTTGAAAATAAAGACAACTGGAAATGGTTCTTAGAAAATTTGCAAGAAGATCTGAAAGCTTTAACAATGTTATATTGGAGGTTAGGAAGAAGCCAATTATTACAATGTTGGAGGATATTAGACTATATGTGATGGAGAGGATGTGTAGTTTGAGGCAGAAAGGAAGTGGATGGGGACATCTTAATGTATGTCTAAACATAAGGCTTGCCCTAAATGATTTAAATATCCAACAAAAGGTGCTATATTATTCACCATAATTGAATTGAATATCCAGTCAAGGTACTTTAATTACCCCTGTTAACTTTGATTATTTGTAGGTACTGGCAAGTGCTTCCTAGTGGCCTGAATACATTCGAAACAAGAAAATTAGGAGAGTCTTATGGAGTTGATCTGGAAAAGAAAACATCTTCTTGTAGGATTTGGCAAATGACTGGGTATGGTTGTATACACTCAGTGGCAGCCATTAGTTATGTAAATAGAGATGTAGAGGTATTTGTTGATCCTCTATATCGTGCTTACATATATATGAACACATACAAGTACACAATTGGAAGCATGAATGGGAGTGCAATGTGGCCCCAACAGAGTACATACCACCTTTGCCACCATTGAAAAGGAAGATGCCAGGGAGACCTACTATTAAGAGAAAGAGGGACAATACTGAGGTTACTGGATCACATAGAGTATCCAAGGCAGGCAAAAAGATGTTCTATGGTGTTTATAAGAAATCAGGCCACAATAAGTCAACCTGTGATGCAGTGTCAAAGCCCCAAAAAAGTCAGGTGGAAAAGAGGAAGTCTGAAGGTGAAGGTGAATCTAGTGCATTAAAGAAAAGGAAGGGTCAAGGGCAAAATGGGAAGGGAAAGGGTGAAGGTGATACTAGAAGTGGAATTGGTTTCAAAATGGGAAAAGGTGAATGTGAGTCAACAAGTGGTGTGACTAAGAAAAATGGTAAAAAAGTAGATACACTGAAATTAAGAAAAAAGTCAGAGAGGATACTAAAGAAAAAGTTGGCAAAAAAGGTTGCAGGCAAAAACGGTGAAGGTGATACATCAACCAAACCAATGGACTTGGATTAAAGATGTTTTTGGAGTATGTTAGTTATGGGTGTATGGGTGTTTATTTTCTGTTTGTAACATGAATATTAACGTGTCTTTAAAACACCAAGTTATGATATTAATGAATGTATGGATGTTTGTTTTCTGTTTGTAACATGAATGTTAGTTTCTTTAGTTTAAAACATAACATGAATCTTTTTTTATATAATTGTAATTCCAATGCAATTCCATATAACAATGGACTTGAATTATAACAATGTACTTCCACATAAGGGGAAATTGAAGTCCTGCAACATACGACCTTCACATTTGGTACATTTCATTACAAACCATAACACCATATGCAAAGCAAAACAAAGGTTAAAATAGGAACTAGATTTCATTTCATTTATCCATTACAACTGAGGTTATTGTCTTAACAACCCCCCCCCCCCTTAAAAAAATTTGGGTTATAAACACCATTGTTCAAAACAACCAACAACACATAACCTAATACATACATATATACTAGCAGATGACGAAATTAGACAAAAAGACACTATCACACCCCAAAACCGAGAACGGCGGAAACGTTCAGGGGCGGAGGACGTCATGTAATGTATCACAACAATGTAAACTAGTAAACAAGCAACAAAATCATTTATTGCATTAATAGTATAATTTTAATTACAAGTGTGTTCTTTCATAATATACAACAATAAAATGAATAATCAGAATAAGACGAGTCTGGACTGCTCCGTCTTCACAAACCTGGTCGTCGTACCTATCTATTTCTGACCTAAGAATACAAGTTATTTTGAAAGCGAGTATCAGCCAAAAAGCTGGTGAATTCATAAGTATTAATGTGTCTTTGATGTGTAAAACTTGTAATGAAAGTCTTGACATTGTTTTGAAAGAAAGCTCATATAAGTATGTAAATGTTTGTAAGTAACGGAAAGCGTTTGAATAACCCTAGAAATCTCTATGATCCCTATAAAAGAAGTCTTCTACCAAGACCCTACTGTTTTGAAAGTAGTCTTCTACCAAGACCCGACTGTTTTGAAAGTAGTCTTCTACTATAACCCGACTGTTTTGAAAGTAGTCTTCTACCAAGACCCGACTGCTTTGAAAGTAAGTATCTCTTTAAATGTGATGGTTTTTCCATGTTTAACTATTAGTATAAAACTATAGTATACCTCATCGTTTACGTGTATGAGTCATAATATAAAGGTAATAAGGAAAATAGTTATCTATATCAAATATATCCTACCTCATTGTTCATGTGAATATGTCACAAAGTAAAGGAAGAAAATGACATAATAACTTATGTACTATCATTTTGTACTAGGATAACTAACAGTGTTAACTTAAGACATCCGTAGATGTACATTTTGTTGGGTTTTAAGCAATCTAACACTTCCTAAGTGTGCATGCAAACCTAATAAACCTTGGATCTATGTTTGTCTAAATACATGCAAAATAATAATTTTTCCAAGGTTCATAACCTATCTAACATGGCATGGGGTATTTTTAAACATAAAAGAATTAGATGAGATTACATACCTTTTGATGATGAGTTTGATTCCTAAGGAGTTTGAGGGCCAAGCACCAATAGTGTGAATGCCTCAAATGGAATCAAAAATCACCACAAACTCTTGGAAAACTTTGAGAGAGTGTATACACACTTATAAAATCGGCCACACACAAACACACATACTAGTTACACTAGTTTCCCTTAGGCCCCATTTCATGCTCCATAAGCATGCTTATATAGTGTGCATGGTTAGGGTGAAACCCTAATAACCCATGACCTTTCCTTTTCCAAGGATCCATGGGTTAAAAGCTCCATGGATCATCCATGGACTTCCATACAAGCCTAGCCCATTAACAAATGAGTGTTAGCCCACACTATATAAAACCAATAGCCCATAATCTAATTAGTCTTCCTTTTAATCTCTAAATTAATTCATAATTAATTTAAGACTAAACTAATTAAATAACATACTTCATATTAATATATTATAACTTATAATATATTAATAAACATATGTGTATAACTCTCATAAAATTATCCATAAATAGTTTGGATGAGATGCAACCCAAATGGACCATGCCGGGTCGGGTCAAGTATATACCAAATAAGTTATGGACTTAGACACCTTATCCAACAGACTCCCACTTGGATAAGTCTAATAACTATATTTGCGTATGTTACTTCAGGAACCAACCAGCAATCGTAGCTCTCGAAAACTCCGTTGAACTATGAAGACTCTGTTGAACTATGAAGCGCCATTTTAGATAAGTGATCATATAATCCTCTGTTCTCATGATATCAGCCGGACAAATACATGGAACAACGTCGTACTTATTGTCCAGCAGTTTGTTTCCCGATTTCGATTTGTTTGACAAAGAACTTAATCGAACACATCAATTTAGTTCTGACCGGCCGGTACATAGGTCACAACAAAATCATCGAGGGGCCCAGATATCGCTTCTATTTCTAGAAGGAACAGATAAACTTCGACTCATATGCTTGTTCTACTACTTGTTGAATTGTACACAAAGGCACGTTTTATAACATCAAGTTACTGATGCGTTTACGTGCAATCAATGCACAACCAACTCATAGGTAACAACTCATATCTCTAGGTTTGAAGATTTATATGATATTACCGTCTCACGATCACTCGAGATAAATTCCATGAAGTGATACAAGTGAGCGTGGGTTTATTCCAATACTCATAACTTATGAGCACTCATGAATGTTGTAGCAACCATTGCTATGACTAAACCCATTTAGCCATCTACAAACCGATTCATGACAGTCTTGATTCATACCTACTTCCAACATATGAACGACTGTGGAGTGTTTAAATAACTTAGTCATTCGGAAAGAATAACCTAGCTATTTTGGAAGTCAAAACATGCAAAGTGAAACACAATAATAATCGAATCCAATATGGTCTCAGAACCCTTTTGAATATAAATAGAACCACCTTTTATTTATCACCATATTGATTACACATTATTCATTGTATAATGTTTC